TTTAATGTTATCTTTTTAATGGTTTGTTTTTACAATAACAATTTTGTAACTATTTTATTTATTAGACCTGAAGACGCTGATCACAATAGATAGTGAAATATCGAAATAATTATATATTAAAGAAAATATATATACATATTTAAAAAAAAGTTTATACGCAGCCATATTTATTGAATTTTAACCATATATATATATATATATATATATATATATATATATATATATATATATATATATATATATATATATATATATATATATATATATATATATATATATATATGTATGTATAGCCCATTATATTATAACCCATACTCAAAAGATATTACCAAAGGAATGGATGATAACTTATTTTCAATTCTGCGTATTATTATAAGGAGTTTTAGAAAAAAATTTTGAATCATTAAAACAGTTTCTATATAAAATTAAAATTAATTTTCAAGTTATTTGTTTTAGTGAAACATGGTGTCAAGACAAAAATGTTGAGAATACCCAATTAAAATGTAGTCCACCAAATTAGAGTTCTGGGCAAGGAAGGTGGGGGTTTATGTATGTTTATATAACTCTATGATAGCATATATATATATATATATATATATATATATATATATATATATATATATATATATATATATATATATATATATATTATATATATATATATATATATATATATATATATATATATATATATATATTATATATATATACATTCAATGACATTTTAAGTTTACTTCATTCCATACAGCATTTTAAAAAGAAAAAACAAAGAATAATGAAAAAGAAGATTGCTACCCCAACCAAAACCCAAAGTCAACCTAGTGACACTTGTTGCATGTTTTACCTAGCAGTCGATGTATGTACTGAAGCCCCCGGCATCAGGCTATTTCAGTAAGACATCAGACAGTTTATCTAAACACGCAATACAAGTATAAAGTTGAAACAATCAAGTTAATACCTAAAAATAACTATTGTTTATAAAATACATAAAAACTTAAAGCTAACAATTAAAAAAGTAAATCTAATGAATGGAAAATGTATATTCTTATGAATGGGCAGCTCATATATAAAACACATACCTTTATGAATAGCAGCTCTAGAATTTTTTAGCTCCGGTGATTTCACTTTACCTAAAATGTAGAGGCTCCATTGTTTTAAAGTTAATTCAACAGATCAAACATATTAATTCTTATTTTTACAACTGCTTTCACTACTTTAGAAACATTTTTAAAACACTGGATTTTAAAATCATAAAATTTGATAAAGAATATGAACTTCTCATAACTTTACTCACAGTTAAGTGTTTATTAAAAAAGAAATTTTTTAAACCTATTGCAAGGATAAAAATATCAGAACATCTAATTGTATAAAATAACATTATCATAATTAATATATGACTTTAATAAAACTTTAATAGAAATTCAATCAAATTTAATATTTACAACTTTAAAAAAATTAACTGTTTAAATTTATTAATTTCATTGATTAATGGCTTTCTTTTTATTTATTTAGTTTTATACTAGATAGGCTATACTATACTTTGATACTGTGTGTATCTTAAAAAAACATACCAGTCCTGAAATTAACAACATTCTTTTCTTCTTGTTCAAATGATTGATTTAACTATATGATATAAAATCAAGCAATTAAATTTAAAATCTTATATAAAAAAAACTTTGATCTGAATTTTATAGCACTACCTTTTTCAAATTTTCTTTACTTGAGTTGTCAGCATTATAATTATTAACACGCTCCTTGAACCAATCAGATTTTATAAATCTAGGATAGCTATCAAATTTCATAAGTTGAAAAACCTAAAGAATAAAAAAAAAACTAGAATCAGTAAAAAAAAATTATAAACCGGCTACTAATCATTAAGTCTCAAACTTACCTGCTGCTGAGGAATAACAAAAAGATCAGTGTTTGGTGAGTCTAATTGCTGCTCCACTCTCTTGCATATGCTGAGATTAACATTCACAAGAAAAGGTGCTTTCGAAGATAAGTAATTATCAAATATTTCCTTAGCACATTCTTTTATCTAAACAAAAATGTGTACGAAAAAAATATTTATAATAAAATCAATCATAATTTTATTATAGCATTCACAAGACTCACCTTGTTTATGTCTTTAAGCTTTAAAAAATCATTACAAGCTTTCCAAAACATTAAATTTTCTTCGCTAAACTCTTTTTTCAGAAATTCCTAAATGCAATAGATATAAAAAGTCATCAATTTGTTCAAAGAATTAAATTAGAAGAAATAAATTTTTCAAAATAAATAACCTGAAAGCATTTAACACCATCAATATCAGCAAGCAATGATTCAAATGAGCATGACCACAGCTCCACTTTCTTGTTATGAACATTCTTTTCTTTCTCTGGTGATTTTACTGCTATAAATATGTAAATCAAATAGGAATTTTTTTTTTTTGCAATCTAATTAAAAAACAATTTTAAATCAGTAATTTGTGGTATTTATTAGATGGTTGTGTATGAAAGGTTTTTCTGTGAGGTTAGCAAGACTGCAATCAGAACTATGCTAAAACTGCAATTTTGTGCAGTTCTGTGCAACTTTGTGGAAGAATGATTTCATGAATAAATGTTAGTTTACGTTTAACACTTGTTGGAAAAAAATATTTAAAAACCTATTTTTATGCATTTATAAAAACTTTTTATAGCTTTTTATTATAACAGTGAATAACCTGCATAATCTGTCTTCTCATTTATTCTTGATAAATTACTTTTTTGAGGACTCATAGAATAACTGTTTTGAACTTTATTCTGCATGGATTTATGATTTCTTCTTAATTTTGGTGAGTTTGTAGGTGTGTAATCATCGCTCCATCGATTGACACTGGAAATAAAACACTCACCAAATTCTGCACAGGATTCAGCATATTTAATTTCAGCACGAATTTCTTTTAAAAGTTTTTCGAACTCAGCTTGAATAATAGTCTCATCTATATAACCAGTACTGTTAATAATTCTAGGTGATTGTTGTCTCATAGTTAAAACAAAGTTGGTTAAAATTTAAATCTTTTTTTTTTTTTTTTTTTTTGTAACTGTATTTAGATGGATTAAATTACTTTTTAAAAATAACTTCATTATGTTTAATCACATGTTAATGCCTCATGCCAGTATTATTAAATGCCAATATCATCCAATGCCAGTATTGCACAACAACACTTAAAAAATTTTTGATTATCTAAAAAAGATTTTCAGAGATTTTAAACTCTCAGATTTTTTAAACTCTGATTTTAGACTTAACAATCTTTTTATTAAACTATGGGGAAATATTTAAGTTATTACAAAATCGTGTAATCATTAAATCCTACATTAAAGCATTTTAAAATCTTTTTTTAATAATAACAAACATCTTTATAAGACGCCAATTCGTTAAAGAGTAAATACTGAAAACTTTACTTAAATGTTCAAAATCTAATTTAGTTTAAGCGAGAACAAAGCGTATTCGAATACAAACTTCAACCTAGATAAACCGTATTGAGCACAACTTTAAACTTGAGATCAACAGATTAAATTTTTTTTAAATAGTTAAAGAATTGACACAATAAATAACAAAAATGTTTTGTTACTGTTTTCCACGCTAGATGTATTTAACAAAAAAAACATTGTTACTTTCGGTAGGATGATCCGTTTAACTATTGTAAGTTCCACTTGCGTTTTTAAGACTGCATTTTTAATCAAAATCATGCAGCTTTAATGCATCTCGAAAAGCTCACGAATTAATAATGTAAATTTTAACAAAACAAGGAGGAAAAACTAATTGAAATGACAAGTATTACGTAAAATCGTTTCAAAATAACAATAATACAAAATAATACCGCATTAAATTTTAAAATTTCTCTAACCACATATTATTCCTAATATTAAATATCTCATTTAACCATACAGTTGAACGTTAGTAATTGTCGAGCAAATAGATTTTCCAAAAATATTATTGCAATTAAGAAGTCATATAGAAAGTTTCTATTTAATTTTTCCTCACTAAAAACTTCATCAAAAATTTCTTCGTTAAACAAACAAATAACAATTTTTAAAAAACAATCTTTTAGAACTTGTTACTTTTTCGCGTTTCTGTGAAAAAGTAACAAGTTTTAAAAATTTTAAACGTTACGCAAGCGGTACATAAATTATTTAAGCACTCAAGATAAAAATTATTTCAAAGTAAAGCCAGACGATGCATTCATCATCATGAGAAATCTTTTAAAATATTAAAACGCTTTATGAACAATGATTTAATAAATTTTAAAAATGAGTAAAAATCTTTTAAGAGAAAAAAATGATTACTTCATTTCGTTTTTAATAAAACAACCTTTTTCGAAATATTTTTTATAAACCAATTAACTAAAAGCGTACACAAAAGCAATTACTTTCCCAATTCGTTTTTCAAAAAACCTTTTCGAATATTTTTTATGAACTTTCAACCAATTTCAAAACAATTAACTAAAAGCGTATTCGCAATTAGTCGTTTTTATTACATTCACTAGACTATATTGTAACGCAGATAACGTAACTTATCTGCTAATATTGTTACAAGATCACGACAGTATAAAACGATAACGTAGTTTTTAATAAATGTCATATATATTTAAAGCGGAAAATAACGTTTGCACTATACTTTTCCTTTATATCCATTTCCCTTATTAAAAAAAAAAGGTATTCCATCTTTTTTATATTTTTAAACAGGATTTGATAGAATTATTTACTGGTTCTTGATTTAGATAAAGTATTAAGATATAAATGCTTTTTCATATTAGAGATTTCCCTTTATTTTTAAATATTCAGTTTAATTGGAACTATGTTAAAAAAAACTATTGTTAAATAACATTGTTTAAAAACGACAAAAGTCGAGAATGATTAATTAGCTTTTTAATTAAGCCATTTAAATAAATTTATATAGAATGATAATACTCAAAAATATACCGGGAACTTTTATAAAGCTTGCTAAATGTACTATAGGTTATATAATTCTATAACGTACTATAGGTTATATAATTCTATAACATTTTATTAACTCCAAAAAAAATTTTGAACATATTTAAAGTAATTTATGATATAATATGAAATCACTGAAATTAAATGTTGTTGGCTCTGTTTCCTTAAAAAATTATGGCATAACTATTGCGTAGTTCGTTATTGTGATTCTTATAGTATTTGTTAAAGGTGGTTCCAATAGGGAAAAACTAAATCTTTCATTAAACTTACTAGGTTACGTACTCGATGAGGCATCTACCCTTCGTCTTTTAGGATTAACTCTTACTTCCGATTTTTCTTGGAAACCATATATCAAATCCATTGCAAAATTAGCATCTGCTAAGGTTGCATTCCTTTATCGTGCTCGCCACTTTCTTACTCGGGATTCTATTCTTTATCTTTGTAAATCTCAAACCCGTCTTTGTAAGGAATACTGTTGCCATATCTAGAGCGGATCTTCAAATGATACATTTTCTCTTTTAGACAAGGAGCAAAAACGCATTGTAAACATAGTCGGATCTGCTCTTGCAGCCAACCTTCAACCAATGTCACACCGTCGTACCAATGTCACGCTTCTCTTTCTCTTTTCTATAAATACTATAATGGGCGCTGATCTAAAGAGCTAGCGTCTTTTGTGCCATCTACTAAAATTCATTCTTGTGTTACTCGTGATTCAATAAAGTTTCATCCTTTTACTGAGATTGTTCCTAAGTGCTCCAAACATTCTCATTTGTCTAGTTTTTTTCCTTGAACATCAGTTCTTTGGAATTCGCTCCCTTCATCATGTTTTCCTGATTCATATAATTTGCAATCTTTTAATCGTCTGTTAATCGTTATCTTGCTCTACAATCTTCATCTTTTCTTTTCCAGTAACTTCCAACTCTAATAGTGGTTGCTTGCAGCTTTGTTGGAAGTGAGGATGTTATATATATATATATATATATATATATATATATATATATATATATATATATATATATATATATATATATATATATATATATATATATATATATATATAAACATAAATAAGGGAGTTTCTTCTAGTTTTTGGCACATAATTTCTTTTTTGGCTATTAACATAATAACTAAGCCTAGTATATCATAAGACAAATTTAAGCAACTGCCTAGGGGCGACAATCAAAAAGAAGCGCCTAATTTTCCACATTATCTGAAACATCTTCTCAGACATTTTTTTTAATCACATATTCAGAATTAATTTTGAATTTATTTGAGTCTTTTAAAACTATTCATATGTTTATTTTTAAATAAACAACGAAGGTTTTAACCAACAAGTGCGTTTTAACCAACAAGTGTGTAAGTGTGTGTTTAAGCGAAAACTCACTTAATTGTCGTTACTATTTTTACAGTGAATTTTAGCTTTTTATTGAATCAATAAATTAATAAAAACAACAGATAATTATTTTTTTTTTTTAATTTTTGTAAACAGTAGAAAAATTTGTAAACATTAAAAATTTGTGTAAACAGTAGTTAATAACATTATATGTGGCTACATATGAAGTTATTAACATATTAACAAAATCTTGTTTTGAGTAAATGACATAGATATATATTAACTAGACATACAGTAAAAATTGCATAGCTATAGCATCGTTATTTTTTGAAATATATTGTTTGAAGTTGAAACCAAAGTCACAAAAACAAATTTTTGAGAAAAACGCAACAACAAAAAAAAAAAAAATTAAAAAAAAAAAGAAACATTAAAGTTTAATTTCCAGGAAGATCTTTTACTTCTTTTACATTTTAAATGTCTTAAATCTTTTCATAATCTTCCTAATTGCCTTTCTTTACTTTTTACTACCATCTGATGATGAATTGATCTGATAACAGAAATGGAAAAAAAAGATACGATATCAGGGACGGATCCAGCATTTTTTGGTCGTTGAGATAGCTAACTTCTAGACATGGAGCAAACTCTAAACATTTATATGTTTATAATTGTCAAATAAGGATGCTTTGCAAAAAATTGCGATGATTGGAGGCTGGGAACAGAAAAGCCCCAAAATTTTCGCCCCCTGCCCCAAGCGTGAGAGCAACAAGTTGATGAAATATTTTTTGTACTATTCTCAACTAGACTTATATTCATCAATAAATTTTAAATTTCATAGTAAAATATTTTAGCGTTTAAAAATTATGACCATATAAAGTTTAAACCTTCCTCAATTTGAGGGGAGTTGCAAATTTTATATAGTCATAATTTTTGAACGCTGAGAGATAATACTATGAAACTTAAAATTTATTGATGAGTATAAGTCTAGTTGAGAATAGTACAAAAAATATTTTATCAACTTGTTGCTCTCACGCATAAGGCAGGAGTAGGGGGGGGGGGGCGAAAATTCAAGGGCTTTTCTGTTCCCAGCTTCCAATCATCGCAATTTTTTGCAAAGCATTCTTATTTGATATAAGTATAAACATATAAATGTTTGGAGTTAACTCTATGTTTGGAAGTTAGCTATCTCAAAGACCAAAAAATACTGGATCCGCCCCTGGATATTGAACACATGAATGAACACTGTAACAAATTATGGCTTATATCTTGAAATGTACAGTTTTATTATAGGGAACCGTTGCTAAGAGTTGCTAAAAATTACTAAAAATGCTAAAATAGAAGTTATTTTTTCAAAATATATAAAAAAGTATAAATAATCAACTTTAATTTAAGATTTTTAAAATTAAAGTATGCAGCCTTAAATAGCAACAAATTCTAAATAAGATAAAGTCGGTAAAAAAAATTTGAAAACCAATTATGGGAAGTAGGGGCATAACCGCATATGGAAGCAAAACCATTTTTTAACATTTCCCTTTGAAAAATGTTACTTAATATGGCAAAAAACATACCACGCGTTAGTAAAACAGTTTCCTTCATTTCGCTTATGTCAAAAATATTGCCTGTTACGTTTCTTAGAAGATTTGCATAATAATATTTATTTTGATAAAAATATTATATTTACATCAAATTTTTCCAGACCTTTAATTTTTAGGATTAAGCAATATTTAATTTTAGTGTTAAAGATATGTGTTATCAGCGTTATTTCATCAAGTGAAAACCATTTTTGATATCAACATAAGCTAATAAGCAAGCTATGAAACAGTTATCATTCTAAAAACTGTCCTCTGGGGCAGAACCGGATAGACGCACAGGAGGCACAATCGCATACTTTTGATATCTATCAAAGTTAGGTAATTACGAATAACAATAATAACAATCATACCACTTGAATGCAAACATATAAAAACTTAAATAGAAATATTTTTTTTTTTTTGAGGTGTTGGAAATTAGATTTCGCATTTTTTATTTAATTTTTATAAATGAGTTTTTGATTAAAATGTAAAGTTAAGAATATATCGAGTGAGAAAACTCAAACTGTAAATACAAAGAATGCCTACACAGTATGCAAACGTGCAACAAAATCAGCAAATAATCTAAGCAGTGACAATTGTAAAGAAAATGTACCAAGTGTAGCCATAACAATTTTTGTGAGGGTGAGGTTGTGCCTCACAATGGGGGCAAACCTTTTTTTCACTAAGTGTAATTTTTGTGTAATAACATTTTCAAAAACCTTTTAAACCGTTTAATTTTTTTTTTAATTGCATCAATTTAAGGCTTCATGATGAGGTTATTGAAATAAACTGTAAAAAAACACATTTTGTTTTTATAGTCATATAACATTAATTCAAACGTTACGGGGGCGTTTATGCCTCCACTTCCCCTACAATTATTTGACTATAATTTATTTGAATGTCTATTCACACGTGCGTGCGAATAGACTATAGGACAGGGTGAATAAAAAAAGCAATTGCTTTTACTCAGTAATTGGTCAGCTTTACGTGATTAAAGGTTTCAGGAATTTTCTTTAAGTTTTTATTAAGGTAAAGCTGAGCAATTACTGATTAAATTGCCTAACTTTACGTGAATAAAAATTTGTGCAAAACTGGCGAAGTTTTTATTCACATAAAACTGACAAACTACTGAATTAAAGCAATCGCTTTTTTTTTTTCACCCGATCTTATATCTTAGTTTAGTCTATTCGCACGTTAGGAAAAAAAACTTTCAGTTGATTTTTTTATAGTTAAATTAAATAGTTAAATTTTAAATTATTTTATTATAAAATAAACAAAAATAGCAATTTCTAATTTAAGCAATGTATTTTGAAAAGCAATTTAATTCAAAGTAATAATAAAAAATTAAAATTACATCGATTTAATTTTCATTCTCAATAAATAAAAAGTAAACAAAAAAAAAAAAAACGTGCCAGTAGATAAAATAAACTTTGAGAGGAACTTTTTTATAAATTAAAAGATTGTCTGCTAAAGTCAAAACCCTCATCATCGTCATCAACCTTTTTTATTAAACGTGTAAATAGACTATAATTTTTTGAGTCTGTTCGCACGTAAATAACGAGACTATATACAATAGAATACTCTGTTAAAATAATATCCGTTAACATGTAATGTTAAAACGTTACAAAAATTTCTCGTTAACTCATATTTAATTATTTTTAGCTTTTTTTTTTTTGTAGGTAAAGAAACTTTCTTCTTAATTTTTCTGTATCAGTAAAAAAATGCGTAAAATACACGCACTTATTTTGTCGTTATTTGATCAATTTGACACGACTTTTTTCTTGATACAGGTCCAACATCGTTCAAGAAACATTTAAAATAAAATAGATGCTAATTTTCTTTAATACGTTATCAATATTAATAGACCGTCAAGCCCCTAATTGTTTTTGTTTTTTTTAATAACAAAAATCTAAAAATTTGAGAAAATACAGGAAAAACTACTATATTTAATATAGTTTATATATAATATATATTACACATTGCATAAATATATTTTATTTTAAGTTTTTTGAAACTTTAATTATAAAATACGTATTTTTAATACGTATTTTATAATTAAAGTTTAAAAAAGGACTGTTTTATATTAAGGTCGTCTTTATTTTTTAATATTTATTTATTTATTTTTTTTTGTTGTTGTTGTTGTTGATTGTTGTTACCATTTTTCAATTAGCTATTTTTTTTTTTAAAATTAAAAAAATTGACACCTCCAACAAAAAATTTATCTTTATCATATATTTAAAATTAAGATCCAGAATGACAATCTATAATTTAAAAAAATTCTGATTTTTTATTTGTTGTTTGTCTGCATTGATTTTTTTTTTTTTTTTTTTGGAATATCGATAGAATTGAATTAAATTAGTCAGAAATTAAAATAGCTCCCAACAGATAAGATTAATACATTAAACACTAAATATTAGGAAACGTCAGCTTTAATTAAAAAAAATAATTATGATGTTACTAGTTACGAATTGTTTCTGTTGTATGTAGTAATAATAATAATAATAATAATAATAATAATAATAATAATATTAATAATAATAGTAATAATAATAATAGTAATAGTAATAACAATAATAATAATGATAATAATAATAATATTTTTAATCGTTTATACTTTACATATTTATACTAAGTGGATTAGAAAATCCCAGACAACATTTTTTTATGGGCACTAGAAATATAAATTTAGTATTACAATTTGTAGTTTCGCGTTTTTAAATACATGATCTTGAAAGATGTTAATACAAGAACCATCAATAAAAGCAAATTTTAGCATAAATAGAACGTGGCACATTACTTTAAACACTATATTACACAGCATAACATAAGTTTTATCGCTGAAATAATTTTGGTTAAAAGAAAAGACATAACTGTCTCTTCTACACATCAAAGAAAGTATATTCAAACTGCTTTACTAATCAAGTGATGAATTGTGGAAACTTTTCTATTCAATTGATTTAAATAGAATATAGTTTAAAAAAATAAATCAAAAATGTACAATTTAAAAAAAAAACTTACAATGTTTAGGATTAGTTGGAGGAGTGCCCTAAAAACATTTAAACATTATAAGAAAATATTTATATATCAAATATAAAACTTCTAGTATACTAGGACAAAAACATTTATACTATGGTAAAGATGTTTTTGTTTACTCTTTTTAAATAAAAAAGATTTGTATTTAAACAATTTGAGGGTACATATTAAAAGCAATAACCTCATGTTTGTGAGATAATTAATTCTTAAATCTTCTCGTTTACAAAATGATTTTATGTACCTAAGTGTATCAGGTAAAAGACACTTTTTTCAAAAATCACACACGAAAACAGCACTTTAGTATAGTAAAGTAAAAAGTAATATAGAACTGTATATAACTCTAAAGGTATGCTAATAAGGGTAGGGAAAATAAATTATTAATATGAAAACCATAGGGGTCATTTTTTTTAAAATTACATGTTAAATGGCTCATTAGTAGAAGTGTTTGCTTCTATAGTAACAATAATCGATTGATAGTAGGTCTGCCTTGTCGAGTTTTCTGTAATTAAGCGTAAAAAGTAACACAAGATTACTTGCGGTGCAATAAATTTAAAAAAATGTTTAAAAAATACGTTTTTTGAAATTAGAAAAACTAAAATAATTTTAAATTTCAAAACATTCAGATTAGTAACTCAAAACCAGGGCAGTGGAGTCGGTGTTGGAGTCGTTTTTTTTTACGACTCCACACCCCTGCTCAAAACTAAAAAAAATTTTAACAATAAATTTAAACGTTTTAAACGTTCAAAAAAAATTATAAACCATTCAAACAAAATCGGCAAAAATATTCAAACCATTATGAAAAGTTTGGCATGCGTTTCAATCTATTTAATGTATACGTTTATTAAGCGTTGATTAATGGTTTATAATATTGACTATTACAAATAAATATTAAAAGTGTTTAGCCGTCACTTAATAAACGTATAATTAGAAGATTTGAAATGTACGCTTCAATCCTTTTTAAGTATACGTTTATTAAAAGTCTATTTAACCTTTATAAAATTGAATTAATATTTTTATGATTCAATATTTCATTTCGTTTATAATATTGACTAACATATTATGTTAGTCAATATTGTAAATGTTTAATCAACGTTTAATTAACGTATAAATTAATAGGTTAGTAATGTACACTTTAATTACCTTATGTATACGTTTATTAAACGTTTACTAAACGTTTAGAATAATGACTTATGTTAGTCATTATTTTAAATGTTTTAAATCAACCTTTAATTAACGTATACATTAAAAAGCTTAAAATGTTAATACAAATCAACTTTTTATTTTCGGTCAATAATTGGTCGCTAAATGTTTTATCCATTTTTCGACTTATTTCGAATAAATATTGACCTATTCTAGACGTCTCTGTGTTTTACTGAGTATTGTCATTTAAAAAATCTACTGTGTGAGAGGATGAAAAAAATACATTTCACAAAAACTAGATATGTGCATACTTGTTTGTTAACTTGATTGTTAATCTAGCATAAAAGATAGGAGTACCTCATTGAAAGACCATCCCATTTTTTATAGTATATAAATAATAACAAAATTAATTTGGTAGTGGTACGGAGGTTACGCGTTCGTTTCGTAAAGGGGAGGTTTTGAGTTTGATCTCTGTCACATCCCTGGTAGTACCATACTCAACTTGTTTCTCTGCGCAACAGCCTTGTTTGTCAAGGTTCATGGTTCAGGTACTTTTATATGGTTTTTTTTTGTTGAAATTTCTAATCACTTAATAAACTAGTATCTTAAGTTTAATGTTTTAAAAACAATATTTTTTCAAACCGAAAAATTTTGATATTTTAGTTTTAGTTATATTTATGGCACTTTTTTTAATTTTTTAAAAAAGTTTTAATTATACATTTATACATTTTTGTTGTTTAATGGAAAAGTTCCCTGACGCTTTAAAAAAATTCTTTTGAATTTTTTTATTGTTTTGCATTTAAAGATAGCCTCAAATTAATAGTAAGCGATAATATTTGAAATATGCTGTTGTATAAGTACATATGTAATAGTATAAAATTAATTTTGCAAAGATTTGCACCCCTAAATATAATACTGTTATAGACATTCCTATTTTCAAAAAAATGCTGAAACAGCTATGTTTTATGTCATTTGAAACAGTTATATTTATGTGTTACTTTTCCACGTGTGCAACTTAATGAAGAAAAAAAATTATAAAAAATTGTACAGTTTTTAAATAAATTGTATTGTCTCCAAAAATACTTAAAAATTTACTGTGGACTAAGAAAACAATAATAGCTTTTAGCACATTCACAAAAACAACAAGTCCGCATTCAACACGAAAATATATTAATATATGAATAAAGAATGCGAGGCAGCACGCCAAACACTTCAATGTACTAAAACCACTTAAAGAAAACTCAACACTATGAAATGAGAAAAGTGCAAAAATAAAACTTTAAAAATTACAAAGTAAACGATATTTGAACACTCTTGTTAACAATATCAAAAAATGATGTTATTACCCATATTTAAAAAACTCGATATCATCTCAACGGTTGAAGATAACAGAAAGACTTTTTTGAAATCTTTTTGATACTTTTAAATTGTGTTAAAATATCGAAACGATTTAAAATAGTATGTTTGCGTTCGATAAAACGCGTTTGATAGTTTTTTAAATACTTTTTCGATATTCTTTAGAACTGCATTTAATTAAGTAAATCCCAACAGAAAAAAATAAAGATGATTTCAATAGATAGTTTATCGAATACTTTACAATGCAAGTAAATATATATATATATTACAACAAAGGTTTCTTTGAATATTTTTTCTCTTTCTTTACCCTAAACCAAGATAAGAATGAATGAACAAAATATTTTAATTATGAAATAAAGAGTTTTGATTAGGTGTAAACTAACCTTACAAACGGGCAAATAAAAATTCGTTTAACTTAATTTTGCCTATAAATATTTTCTTTATTTATTTATTTTTAAAAATCTAAGATTTTGTAGGATTGTACTTCTTCTGAAAAGTTTAAAAGTAATTAAATGTTGTTACAACATATTTTAATTTTTTCAAAAACTAAAAACCATTTTAAAAACATACAATTAATTTCCGCAAGATGAAAAAATTCAAGAGAAGTCAGCAGGTATCCAAGTTTTTAATAAGAAAAAAAGCATGAAGATAGCCTCAAACTTTTTATATAATAGATAATAAATTCATGTTTGAAAAACTTAGAATAATTGAAATGAATTACACTAAAATGATGAAGCAAATTATTTTTAATACTTAAAACCGCTTTAAAAATATTATCGGAAGCTAAATAATAAAACTCAAAAGCAATCAAAATAGAAAATAACTTTCTATTTTTAAATTCTAAAAGCAAGAATTCAAAATAAAAGTTAAAAAATGCATAAATTTTATTTCAATTATTGAACAAACTTAAACAAATTTAAAAATATTTAAGAAGCTTGTTCAACTTTTTAAACGCGAAGTCAAACTTGAGCAAAAGAGTATCAATAAAGACCAAAAGCACACAAAAAAAAGTTTCACCTTTCTGCTGTTAATATCCGAGAAACTTTCAGTTGAATTTTCTGAAACCATGCTATCGCTAGAACTACGTTCTTTTTTGATGTCAGAAGAAACCTGTTCTTTGCATTTTTCAGTACTGTTGAATAAACCGAACAATTTTTTATTTTCTTGATTTTTTATATTTGAGCCTTTCTGTTCTGATGAAATGATTTTAGTAAACCCAAAAGATTTGGTTGCGCAAGAAATTTTTCTCGGTACTGGTGGTTTTTTATACTCCATTCTATAGTAAGACAAAAGTATTTTTAAGAAGTTAGCAAGTGAAAATTTATACACTCAATATAAACTTGAACAATAATCTTTTAAGAACTGTGATTTAAAAATATGTTTTACTAGACTTTATTGCAATTTTGCTCACACATATAAACACAATTTAAGTGTTTAGATATAAATATACGCATAAACATTTATAATTATCATACAATACACAAATTATACAAGAAACATATTTCTGATGTTTATGATTTAAATCGCAGTCTAAAATAAAACTAAGATGGAAAAGGAAGAAAAACGATGGTTAACAAATGAAACAAATAAAATGAACAAGTTTTACTGAAAACACACACTTAATGAATTTCTTTATATTTTAAAAATGAAATCTAATGTGTGACAGTGATTTATTTTGTTTCTCTTCCCACCTTCTAAATTTATTTTTTGTCATGTTTTTATTCGGTGGAGAATAAAAATCAATAGGATTTTAATGTAAAAAATCTTTATCATAACGATAAATCCATTTAGAAGGATTTATCTTAAATCTATGACGATAATACATCATAATAAGTCTTGTAATTGTTTATTTGTTGTTGGTTATCTTCCTTCTATAGTTTTATATATTGATGTTTATTGCCCTATAAATGATTTTTAGACCTTCTTTTTACGATTTTACGTTTCAATTATTCATTCCGTTGTTATTTAAGATTTTAAATGTATAGGTTTTATTGAAGTTCATTATGTTGAAGTTAATTATGGAAATTAAAAATTTTCATAATATTCAAATAACATTTAGATTTAAAAAAATCTAACTGTTTTTAAACAGAAACATTAATTTTGCATGATTAACATATTTTAAGAATTATTTATAAAAAGTTTACAAGTTAATTTTATGAAGTATAGTTTATTTTAAAGATATATTTTTTACATACAGTTTTTAAAAATCTACAGTTTTAATTCATTATTATAAAATTAAAGTGCATTAACATGAAATAAGTGATTTTAAAGTTTAACATAAAAGTTTTAAAGTTAATTTGTCTTATTTTAAAGTACCTCGGAGCTTGCCAAAGTAGCAAATCATGCCAGTTTGTAGAATCAGCCATCTCATATAGATGCTAAATTCAAATTTTTTAAAAAAAGTTTAATGTTAGATTCATGCTCGAAAAGAAAACGTCAGTAGAACACGAACAATAAAAAAAATTATTTATTCATTTTTAAAATGTATAAATTAAACAAAAAACATCTAAAGTGACACTCTAGTCGGTCTAAAATGAATGCAACTTAGATATGCGTTCAAACTCCCGCTTAGAACGAGTCAGATATATTAATTTACGAATGTTTTTTATAAACACACAAAAAAGAGTTAAATTCAAATCAATTAAACGTTTTTAAAACTTTTTCAATAGTATAATAAAGTTACAGTTCGTAAAATGATATCATAAACACTCTGCGTTCCATATCAGTATTTTAAACTTAATAATAAAGATAATCTAAATAATAATTTATATTGAAAAATAAAACCATTTGTGACAAAAAAAATATACTAATAAAAAAGATCCGCTTTATTCTGACCTTTTTGAAGGAAACAACTTTTTTGAAAATTCATTTCCTTTTATCCAGCTAATATTTTTCCTGGAGAAAAAAAAGCAATAGTATAAAAGTAAAATTCAATTTTATTGTGAAATTTTTAAACTACCTTTTAATATTGAAAAGCGTATTCTCCAAAAAACTCAAACAATTCATTTATTAGTAATATGTATTGAAGATGGATACGCAACGGCAAACCGTGTGTTTAAATAGATCGCCAAATATTTATAATTAATCAAAAGATATGTTTTACAACGCTTTTTGTTCCACTATTTGAAATGTAAAAGCAGAAAAAAAAAAAAAAAAAACTACACGCAAACAAAACATGATAATTGTTTCTTTTTTTTATCTTTTTTTTTTAAAGTAGCTTTCAGCTGAGTCTATTCATATATATAAATATAAGTGGAAAATTTAAATATTTTAAAATTATTAATTTTTTTTTTTTAATTTTCATCATTTTTTTTTTTCATTAAATTTCATCTTTATTTACTCCTATATTCTTTAAACTTAAATTTATTATTTGCTTTTTCAATTTTTTCATATCTCTAAGTTTCTTTTTTAAATTTAACTGAATAAGAGAGACTTTTTATATCTTTTTAAGCTAAATAATTTCTTACTCTCCACCTATTTCAAGTAATGAATGCATATTTTTTTGCATGGGATAATCCGCAGTAAGGCTAAAAGAACAAAAATAAAAATAATATTTAATTTGAAAAATTTTATTTGTTTTTTTTTTTTAATAAAAACTTTCATAAGTAAAACACATGCCTAATTTTTTGAGAATAATTATTGTTTTGTTGGATTTCCTTTATCAAGCATAACTTTTCATCTTCATTTATTCCTTGGAGAGAGCAAGGTGGACTAACCATAAGCTTTTGAGTATTTCGAGTTGGACTGTTGAGTGAACTTTTTTGAATTTTTTCTAAAGTGTTATATATTACATCTTCTTCAGGTGTAGAAGGAAACTCTTCGGTTGAAACAAAGCAGAATGATTGAACTCCTTTTCGAACATTTTTCCTAATTTGTTATTAAATGTATTTGATATATTAATTTACAATTTTATTTATTTAATATTTACTATTATTGACATTTAATTCATACTAATTTGAGGTGCTTCTGTCGTATTCAAATAAAAAGAGAATAATGTTTTTTATAATCATACTTATGGGTACATAAACTTATTTTTAGATTGCAGGGTAAAGTTGTGCAGGAATAATGGAGGGCATATACAAAGATCTGTTAGGATTCATTTAATGAGTTGCGTATTACTTTTTTCGGAAAAGAGTTTATCAGGTTTCAGATGATTGTGATTTAATAAAGGTAACTAAACTATACATTGTTGTATAGTTCATACATGTTGCATTGACTGATGGTTTAGGTAAGCAGTACTTAATGTAAAGGACATTTATCACAACAACAACAAAAATCATTTTACTTCTTCTAAATCACCATTTTAAAAATGTAAGTGAGCAAATAAATTGATACTTTGCCACCCTAAAACCACAATTATATATATATATATATATATATATATATATATATATATATATATATATATATATATATATATATATATATATATATATATATATATATCTGTGTGTGTGTGTGTTTTAATTGGAAAATGGTTTAAATGACATGAATAATATATATAACATAACAGGGACAGATCAAGGATTTATTGATGTCTGACTTCCAGACATGGAACAAACTCCAAACATATGCTTATACAAAAGTCAAATGGGGATGCTTTGTAAAAAATTTAGATAATTGGAGTCTGGAAGCAAAAAAGTTCTAAAATTTTGACCACAACTACCCTAAACGTGAGAGCAACAAGTTGATAAAATATTTCTGTAACTATTTTAAATAAATTTATATTCATCAAAAAATTTTTAGTTTCATACAATAATCTCTTTAGCATTTCAAAGCTTTGAGCCCCCTCCCCCTCAAATTGAGAGGGGGCTCAAACTTGATATAATCATAACTTTTTGAACGCTAAGAGAATATTGCATAAAATTTTAGAATTTATTGATTAATATAAATTTATTTGAAATTAGTAAAAAAAATTTATCAACTTGTTGCTCTTATGTTTAAGGCAGCTGTGGCCAAAATTTTAGGGCTTTTTTGTTACCAGGCTCTAATTACCATAATTTTTTGCATAGAGTCCTTATTTAACATAAAATAAGGACTCTTATATAAATATAAAAATATTTGGAGTTTATTCCATGTCTGGAAGTAATAAATATAGTTAATAATAATTATAAATATTTTGGGCCATAATTGCAGATTTTTTTTTTTTTTTTGAGGAGGGGGGGGGGAGGAGAAAGGCTCAATCCCACTAGCCAAAGCACTGTTTAATTATAAATATATATATATATATATATATATATATATATATATATATATATATATATATATATATATATATATATTTATATATATATATATATATATATATAATATATATATATATTTATATATATATATATATATATATATATATATATATATATATATATATATATATATATATATATATATATATATATATATATATATATATATATATATATATATATATATATATATATATATATATATATATATATATATATATATATATATATATATAATATATATATATATATATATATATATATATATATATATATATATATATATATATATATATATATATATATATATATACATATATATATAATTTCCTCAATTTCTGGAAAACTTTGCTCTTCAATCTTAAAATATGTTGAAATACCCATAAATGTAATAATGAAAAAAATACCCTCTTATTGCTAGGTACAAAACTGCAATATCATATATTATTAGAACAGAAGCATATCAAATATTGTTAACAATATTGCAAATAATGAGATAATAAATAGAATGAGATAATAAATAGAAGACTTAAGCAGATAATATATAACAAGAAAACATGTTAACAAGCTTAATGAGGTTAGAAATAACAATGTTAAAAAAGTTTTAGCCAATAAAGACTAAAGTCAAAGTTAGACAAGTATATGTTAAAAACAACATAAAAGATTTAGCTATATAAATCCAACTTTTAAATGTTATTTTAATAAATAATGCACATATATTTAATGGACACCATTAAATATAGGTGCTTTATTCATTATAATGGTTTTTATGACTAAAGTTTTTTAATTGCATGTTTTATGTTTTCCCTAAAAATGAGGTGACCAAAAACCTTATTGTTCTGTAAATGAGTCATTAAAATCTTTAATTCTTATTAGATTTTGCACTATGCTATTCTATGCAAAAAGGTTGTTAGTTACCTTATAATGCTATCCTTAGTAGAAAGATTGTTATTCACTTTATTATGCTACCATATAAAAACAGTTGTTAGTCACTTTACTATGCTACCTTATGTACGAAGGTTGCAAGTCAACTTACCTCAAAAATTATTTTCTTGATTAAACTTATGGAATATTTGGAATACTTTTTCATATTCAAATCACATTTCTGGTGTATAGTTTATATATTAAAAACTGATTACTTTTATGATGTTACCATGACTACTACTTTTGTGACATTAGTTCCTTCTTTTTTCTTTTTCCAAGTAAAAAAATTGTATAGAAAAAATTGTTAATAATTTTCTTTGATATTCAAACAACTGATTTTTATAAGACGAAACAGCTCAAGGTATTAAATATTTTAGTTAATAGGATTTTACTGTGAATATAATTTATTAAAAAAAATCAGTATAAAATAAAAATTATAGAAACTTCTACCTTTCTTTTAAAAATGCATTCAATTCTTGTAATACATATGAAGGAGAAGGAGGAAATTCTTGACACCCATCAAATTTTAAACTAGGTGTACATGCAATTTTAAACACATCAGCAAATTCTTTATGATCTGAATGAACAGAGAGCTTACTTTCTACCATAAATACATGGCACGCATGCAAACAAACTATTTTGGATTTGACAAACTTTTTAGTACTGTTTAATGAAGTTGTAACTGAGTGGTCTAATAAAGAGTTTTGTGTAACAAAACTAAAAAAACGTTTGTCTTCTGCATATATATTACTAAAAATAATTGTTCTCAATGGGTATGTAACTATTTCATTTCCAAATGGATTTATCAATTTGATGCCCATTTTTGAAATCTGAAGGTGCACTAAAACAGGTTTATTGTTAAGTTTTTTTATTTTAGATATGCAGTCATTTATTGTAGAATCACTGGAAATTTTTAAATTTATATCATGCGGAATATCAACTGAACAGTAATAAAGGAGTAAAACATTATAGATAGGGGGATAATAAATAGAAACAGGTTGACTGGGAGATCTTTTTAGAGATGATTTTGTAGAAATATTTTCAAAGCAATAGTGAACATCATTTTCTGTCATTTCTGAATGTTGAACATTTGCTTTTCTTTCTTCGCAATAGCTATTAGAGACAACTGTTGAACAATCTTTACTATTTTTTTCATGAGTAAAATTTATTTTTATTTTTTCATGATCACTTAAATGCGTTATATCTAATACCTGTTGGTTAAAGCCATGCAATAAAAAATCCTTTGAGACACTATAAAATGTACGCACTTTAATTAAGATGTGAGGTTGCTCATTACATAAGATAATTTTAACAACATCATTGTGTTTGAATTGGCTAACATCAATCGAGTTTATTTCTAAAATTTCATCTCCAGATTTTAAGCCAGCATCAAAAGCAGGAGTATTTTGATTAACACAACTGATGATACATGGAAACTGATTTGATATTATAAAGCCTAACCCTTTTTTACTTCTTTTTAAATTTACTGTCCGAATAATTGTCGATGCCATTGCAATCGTTTTTCAGTTGTTTTTTTTATAAAATTAATTTTAACATAATCATGCGAAACTAATACCTTTGCAAAAATGTAAAAAGGCATGAGATTTTTTTCCTAGCTTGAGATGCCAGTTACAAAAATAATAAACTTTCCACTTTTTAGAAGATATCCAGAGTTTAATTTTCCTTTTAAAAAAAACGTATTAAGCACAAATTTTGAAGAGATGCCGGTAAAGTTTAAAGAGAACCCATTAATAAAAGTATTGTAAATCTTTAAATGCGTTGTTGACTATTGTCATTAACAGTTGTTTTAAAATAATATTTACGCGCCTAATAAAATAGTTCCGACGTCATTCGGTCACTTATTTTAAAATTCAATTTTGAAATGAAGTAATAATTCGATAAAACGCAGTCATAATAACAGATGTTTTATGACTACGATAAAGCTGCGTTTATCAAAAGACACGAGTAAGTTAACAATAGTTTTAACGGTTATTGTTTTGATGAAAATTAATAATTTATTTTTGACATTTAATAAATCAGTCCAGTCAAACATATAATTACTGAAAGAAGAGCTGACGCATGAATAAATGACGTTCAAGCCGTTATGTTGAGGTTGGATTTTGGCTTAATATAGTTATGACGTATTGAACTATGCAAAATAAACTGTTATCGTTACTGCTATTTCTTTAACATGTTGTATCACATTTCAACCTGTACTTTAACTCATGCGGCTACCGACTATTTCTGAGTAGCGATGGCTGGTGCAGAACGTAAATCTCCGTCTATAAGTGTTGCTGAATAATAAAGTAATGTGTTTTTATATATTATCATAAAACTTAATAATAGGAAATCATAAATGAAAAGTCAAAAATTAATTTAATGCATTAAACTACACAGTTTAATGCATTAAACTGTGAAGTTAGATTGTTAAACTTAAATTCTTAGTGGGATCTCTGAAAAAAATACACAAGTTTTGCGATTTAATAAAAAAGCATACATTTCTTAAGCGTAACTAAAAAGTACATTTTTAATACTTATTTGTTGATAAGGTATTTCATTTTTAAACATTCAAACATAATTAAAATTTTCGAAAAAATAATTTAGTTTAAGCGATATTTAACTTGATACTTACTAGTCAAATTATTTTTTATTTTGTTATAAAATGATGTTTATACTAAAAGAAGATAAGCATTGAATAATCGAATTAAATATTTCACACAAGTTTTAAGTTATATATTACATTTCCCAGCAGTCGTACGTGTGAAACTTATTGAAAGTGGAAAATAATGAATAATTTAAACAGGTTTAAAACATGTTTTTCATTTACTTGATCCTCGTATAAAAAACACAAATTTTGACATACTAACGTTTACATTCAGTGTCAATTCAGTTAGAGTGTAAAGGATAAAAAATCATCATCTGGATAAAAAACTACCCAGACCTCGCTTCTCCTTTAAAACTCAAACAATTTCAAAATTGCGTTAATACGTAAAATTATTCACCCCGTCGGTGAGATCTCGTCTATTCTCTTAGTTATTTATTCTGCTTTTCCTTTTATACATTATCACTGTTATTGACGAGGATTTTTTTGAATCTTTATTTATCGTCATCGTCAATTTATTTTCTTTCATTTCTATTTATCTTATTTTTATTGTTTATTACTTATCATTATTACTTATTATTGCTATATATATATATATTGATTTAATGTTTATTGTTGTTTTAATTGTTAGTAGTATTTACACTACTAATATAATATTATTATTACTTTTAATATATTTCTAAATGTCTATATTGATATATTGTATTAGGTATTTGCTTTATATTAGTACTCGTACTATTGTAAATATCCTTGAAATGTTAAACAACTTGTTTCAGAATATATTTGATTTGATTTGATTTGATCTATAAATTACCGGGATCCCGGTAAGGCGGGGTGAAAGTTCTTCATATGAACATAAGCTGAAAATGAGACCGGTTAGACTGGCCAGCATTGCTATAAAATTCAAATTGCGTTTGCTTTTACGTTTAATCTTTAAAATCTTTAAGTTTAAATCGTTCAACAATGTATGTAAAAATCTAATATTCTGTCGTTAGGATTTTTAAAGAAAAAACATTCTTTTCGATAGTCGACTATAAAATGAATTTGATGTTTATTTTATAAAACATGCAATACTACCAAGCTTTTAATATGTATAGAGTTAGAATGAAAACTCATCAGATTATTTGTAGCAAATTGTACTAATTTTTTTTCAACTTTAATTTTTAGTTTTAATTTTAAAATTAACGGGAACAATTGTTTGTAAACAAATATCACTCGACCTTTGAAATATTGGAGATAATTTTTCATAGTGTTATTGTGGGTCACCTGACTTTGTTAATGTTGCCATTATGAGAGGATAAAAAAGTAAACAAACTTTTCCGTTATCAATTATAATACCATACGTAATAGGTTTTTATTAGGTTTTAGTACCAATATTATTATATTAATATAAATTTTATATCAATGTAGAATAATAATCAAGATTTTTCATTATTTTTAAAATCAATATCAAGTTTATTTACTATATTTACTATAAGTAAATGTCATACTAGATGTACCTTCCAAAAACAGATATGATATAACAAATCTTATACAAAGCCTTTGTCATAGACACTTGCTTATGACTATGTGCCTTTACATAGACACTTGCTTAATTCCAAATAAAGAATTCGAAAACAATGGAGAAACCTTTCGAGCTGTAACATACATTGATTTATTAAATTATCTGTTATTTTCATCAAGTTCTTATACAGCTGAGGATATGAAGACCTATAAAGCGTGGAAGCGTTTAAATAAGAAATAATATATTTGGTAATATTTTTAGGTATTTCATTCTAAACATCTAAGTGATACTCAAATTAATCCATTGATTTTTTCAGAATTTAATATCCACACTATAATTGCAAGGCAGGCCTCACTCAAGCATGTACACCACGGCTGTTTCACGCAATGTAAAATTGGACATTACGTCACGAGTTTAGCAAAAACAATTTCCGTATAAAAAGTTTTTTAAATATTTCGGAATATAAAGTATAAAAATTCAATAACTTTAAAGTAATAGTTTTTTTTCTTTTTATAAACGCTTTTGTGTTCTAATAATAAAAAAAAGAAACATCTATCTTTCCTTGTTTAATAACTATTTTCATTAAACGGAATAAAAATAAAAGTTGTAAAAATATTGCTAATGATTTAGGATTACTTTTCTGTTTTTTGCGTATTTTACGAAAAACCCGTTTTGGGCCAATCAACATTTGATATTTTAAGCTACATGCTTGATGATTGAAATTTCACATACTTATAAACGAATGTCTATTTTATCAGATTTTTGGAGGGCATAGATAAAAAAAATAGTTTAAGTTAGTTTTTTTAGCATTATTATTTTTATTTTTAATTGTTTTATATAAAAAACGTTCAATTTTTGTTATGCCCTCCAAATTATTGAAATTTCAACTCTTTATGCACATGAAAATCAAAAAAATTACTTTCTGTACTTCTAGCTAAAACGTCTTTAACCTTGGCAGGTTTAGCAATAAAATTTGAAGTTAGATGCGTAAAATTTTTGTTCATGTTTTAAAGCAATGACGTAACTTTAAATGCGTTACTTCCCAATTCACTATGTAATTAAATTTATTAAAACAGCTTTTTTAGCGAGACAAATTTTAGTGTATAAATGAAACAAACTTTGGCGGTATTTTCCATATGAAATGGATATAAAACTAGTATCAATTTCATGCAAAGATCGTTTGCTACTTATAGAACATATATAAATATATTAACTAAAAAAAATTATTTACGTCAATCCACCAAAACTAGTTATCAAATTATTTAAATTGCTTATATTGTTATGTATGTTTATATAAAAATGTGTTATTTTTCTACAGAAATGTATTAATATTGTAATATTGATCTCAGTGTCAGGAAATTATTATACGACCGAAAGCAAAAGTGATTCTAAATTCATTTTGTTTGTTTTAAACCTTTAAAAAAAAAGTATTTTGCGATTTTTTTTATTTCGCCTATTGTTGTGCCTGTATTAGTTCGCATTTGGTGTAAATAATGTTAATATGTTTTATAATTGGTCTAACTATGCTTATATTACATATTAGTCAACAGAAATATAATTTTTCTGAATATTTTTGCTAAAAAGTATGATTAAAGTTTCGAATATCTGCCAAGTTCGTCATTCTGCGCGTTTATTTAAAAATCAGAGCAGCCTTGGATTATTGAATAATAAAATATAAAACATTTAGTCGGTGTTCGTATTTTTTTTTTTTTTACAGAACGTATTTATCTTTAATATTTCAAAAGTTATGAAAGATTTAGTAACACCCCTTATGTAATTTTTTTCAAAAAATAACAAGAAGCCGTACGTCCACTCTGAAACAGCCGTGACACATATTCCTGCAGCATATTAATAAAACTGTTAAAATGTGAGAATCTAAAATAATAACTGAATATAGTTCTTAATGGTTACCACCAAACTCACCAGCAAATTAAACTACAAAAAATTTTTTTAATGAACTAAATAAATCAAAATTAAAGGCAGCTACTCTAGGAACAATTTTTGACTCCATTCATGAATGCTCAGCTGAATCTTATGATTCTATAGTACCAGATGGTGTATTCTTTTTTTTAAAAATTTGCTTAGAAATTAAATTTCTTTACTGTTATAGAAAAACCATTTCAAGATATGATTAAAAATGAAAAAACTTGTTATTGTTATTTAGAAAAAAACAGTGAATTATTACTTTAAAAATTTCAAGGATGTTACTACCATGTACAAACTCAACTTCTTGTTATTGAACATTAATGCTGCAAAACTTCATTAACTGTTGAATAAAAATATTGAGAGAGAAAAAGTTATTTTTTAAACATTAAAAAAAAAAAAAGATTTAGAATAATATTTTGAATATATTAAAATAAAATATATGTAATAAAAGAATAATATTTTGTTCAATTAATCTTGTAAACATCTGTATAGTTTAATGGCATATTATATTTAAATTATTGATCGACTTATTTGCTAAATAAATGCTAATAAAGATGGACATAGGTTAACCAAAGCACATACTGAATTAACAATTTTATCTAATGTTGTATGAGACTCTCCATCTTTAGTAAATAAAAAATCAACTGGTATCAAGTCGAAGAGAACAAGACTCTTTTTATCATATTTTACAATTTAAGGAAGTTTAAAAAATCTTATTTTCTGGTTTGTTTGTTTTTTTTAGTTAAATCATGGCCTACTTTATACACGGCCGGATATGTTGCATAAATAGACCGAAAATTAGAAGGCTAGTTTTTCAATATTACAAGTTTTCGGAATTTAAGTTTAAATAGGTTTAAATATAATTAAATTGCTAGGTTTTTTAATTTAAGTTAATAAATATATTATAATTATTTAAATTAAATAGATTTATATAGTAAAATATCTTTTCGTATTAGTTTTTCCTTATTTAAAAACGTTTAGGTTGATTTTATTATTAACATCTAGTAGTTTTTTTTATTTGATTTTCGTAGTTCACTTCAAATAATTTTTTCTTTTGAACAACTTAAAATTTTAAATATAAATTTAGGAATATGACTATTTTTATACACATTTTTTTACCGTAGAGATTTCAGGCAAAAATCAAAAAATACTAATAGCAAGTTTCATCAAGATTTCATATACAAAATATATCTATTTATATATCTACATACCTGTACACCTATATACACATAAACTAAATTTCTTTTATTTCTTTTCCCTTTGTCTTCTTTTAA